TATGTAGAGGAAAACAATAGCAAAGCTGCTGTCAGGTGACAGAATGGAAGGTGTTTTTGGTCCTTTTAAAATGGATTTTCAGATTTTCACCATTAAAAATAAATTACTTTTGAAATTAGAAAAATAAGTAACTTTAAAAATTGTGACCAGGTGTGGTGGCCCACGCCAGTAATCCCAGCACTTTGGGAGGCTGAGGTGGGAGGATCACTTGAGCCCAGGAGTTTGAGGCTGCAGTGAGCCATGATGGCACCACTACATTCCAGCTGCGGCAACAAAGCAAGACGGTGTTTCCAAAAAAATAAAAAAAATCTGAGATACTCATTTATTTGACAAATATCGGGCAGCAACTATGGACTAAGCACTGTATAGGCACCAGGGGCAACAAACTCACTAAAAACACTGAAGGCCGGCAAGCAGCCCTGAAGAACTCAGGAAGGAAAACTGTGGACTGTTCGAGATGCTCATGGGAGTGAGTGAGATTCTGCCTGCTTCGTTTACGTTGGCAGATTGGTGGAGGAAGCGTCTCTGCTTCAAAAGAATTTCCAGGTGCACAGCTGCCAGGGTGACAGGGATATTTTAAGGAAGTTGATGATAAGTTGGGGCTAAGTAATCCATTCAATTTCCTGTGCTCTGCCTTCCCACCTGCCACCACACTGTACAGAACTGAGTCAATGTCACAGAGGAAGAGGGTGCCCACGTCATGGGACATGTATTTGGGTGTAGGAGCAAGGAGCCCTGTTACCTTATCTCTGCACAGCTCAAACCAGATGGGGTAGACATTTTTATCACTTAACATTATTTAATTTCTTTTTCTTTTTCTTTTTGAAAGGGAGTTTTGCTCTTGTTGCCCAGGCTGGAGTGCAATGACATGACCTTGACTCACCCGCAACCTCCGCCTTCTGGGTTCAAGATTCTCCCACCTCAGCCTCCCAAGTAGCTGGGATTACAGGCATGCACCACCGTACCCGGCTAATTTTGTATTTATAGTAGAGACAGGGTTTCTCCATGTTGGTCAAGCTGGTCTCGAACTCCAGACCTCAGGTGATCTGCCCGCCTCAGCCTCCCAAAGTGCTGGGATTACAGGCGTGAGCTACCAAGCCCAGCCTTACTTAACATTATTTAAAAATCATTGCTATTACTGTGTTTAAAAAAAAAAGTGCCCATTACAAAAAATTATAAAACACAGATGATTCTAAAGAAAAAAAATTATCCATATACATGTGTGCATATATGTATGTGTGTGTGTGTGTATTTTTAACAATAGGATCTCACTCTGTCACCCAGGCTGGAGTGCAGTAGTGCGATTATGGCTCACTGCAGCCTTGACCTCCCTGGTTCATGTGATTCTCTCACCCTAGTCTCCCAGGTAGCCCCCCAGATAGCTGGGACTATAGGTGCACAACACCACGCCCGGCTAAGTTTTGTATTTTTTGTAGAGATGGGGTTTCACCATGTTGCCCAGGCTGGTCTCAAACTCCTGGGCTCAGGTGATCTGCCCATCTCGGCCTCCCAAAATGCTGTGATTACAGGAGTGAGCCACTACACCTGGCCTACCCACATATTTAACATCTAGAGGACCACCGTTAGAGAGTAAATATTTTTGGCTTTGTAAGCTATATATGGTCTCTGCCATAACTGTTCAACTCTGTCGGAGCACAGATGAACTTGTCAATGATATGTAAATGGATGGGCGTAGCTGTGTTCCAGCAAAATGTTACTAATAAAAATGGGTGAATGGTTGTAGTCTGCCAAGCTCTGTTTTATTGAGTATCTTTAAGGATTTTAAAAAAGTATAGGCATAAATGGATGAATTAATAAATGAATGAAAAAAGAAAAAGCCGGTCACAGTGGCTCACGCCTGTAATCGAGCACTTTGAGAGGCTGAGGTGGGTGGATCACATGAGGCCAGGAGTTCAAGACTAGCTTGGGCAACACAGAGAAACCCCATCTCTACTAAAAATAAAAAAAAGGAGCTAAGCATGGTAATGTGTGCCTGAAGTCCCAGCTACTTTGGAGGTTGAGGTGGGAAGATTGCTTGAGGCTGGGAGGTCGAGGTTTTAGTGAGTGTCATCACACCACTGCATTCCAGCCTGGGTGTCAGAACAGACCTTGTTCCCCAATCCCCCCACAAAAAAAAAAAAAAAGAAAAAATGACATACATACATTAAAATAACTTTTTTTTTTGGAGACAAAGTCTCCCTCTGTCACCCAGGCTGGAGTGCAATGGCGTCATCTCAGCTAACTGCAAACTCCGCCTCCTGGGTTCAAGCGATTTTCCTGCCTCAGCCTCCCATGTAGCTGGGATTATAGGTACCTGCCACCATGTCCAGCTAGTTTTTGTATTTTTAGTAGAGACATGGTTTCACCATGTTGGTCAGGCTGGCCTCAATCTCCTGACCTCATGATCTGCCCACTGTAGCCTCCCAAAGTGCTGGGATTACAGGCTTGAGCCACTGCGCCAGGCCTAAAATAACTTTTAAAAGCTGTTGCATTCATCGGATTGGAGGAAAAATCAAATACAGTCATACATCACTTCATGACTGGGACATGTTCTCAGAAACACACCCTTAGGTGATTTGGTCCTTGTGTGAACATCACAGAGCTGACTTCCACCAACTTAGCTAGCACAGCCTACTACACATCTAGGCTAAATGATGTAGCCAATTACTCTCAGGTTATAAAGATAACCTATGGTTAGAAAAATAACACACACACACACATACACACACACACACACACACACACACACCGTATAAAGATATGGTATGTTACTGTACTGAATACTGTATGCAATTATAACACAATGGTATTTGTATATCTAAACAGAAAGGGCACAGTAAAAATACATATAAAGGGTAGAAAAGGTATACCCATATAAGACACCATCAACAGACCTTGCGGGACTGGCAGTTGCTCTGGGTGAGTCAGTGAGAGAGTGGTGAATGAATGTGAAGGCCTAGGACATTACTATACACTGCTGTAGAATTTACAGACACTGTACATGTAGGCTACACTACACTTATTTTATTTTGAGATGGAATCTCCTTCTGTCAGCCAGGCTGGATGCAGTGATGCAATCTTGGCTTACTGTAACCTCTGCCTCCTGGGTTTAAGTGATACTCCTGCCTCAGCCTCCAGGCTCCTGCCACCACTCCTGGCTAATTTTTTTTTTTTTTTTTTTTTTTTTTTAAGTAGAGATGGGGTTTCATCATGTTGGCCAGGCTGGTCTTGAACTTCTGACCTCAAGTGATCCTCCCGCCTTGGCCTCCCAAAGTGCTGAGATAACAAGCATGAGCTACCATGCCCAGCTGTTAAATTTATTTTCAAATTTTTATTTCTGCAATAATAAATTGATCTTACCTTACTGTAACATTTTGACTTTGTAAACTTAGTTTTTATTTTTTTTACGATTTTATAATAACACTTAGCTTAAAACAGATTGTATAGCTGTACAGAAATATTTTCTTTCTTTATATCCTTATTCTATAAGGTTTTTCCTATTTTTAAAAGTTTTTGTTAAAACTTAAGACACGAACGTACACCTTAGCCTCACCCTACACGGGGTCAGGATCATCAGTATCACTGCCTTCCACCTCCGCATCTTGTCCCACTGGAAGGTCTTCAGGGGCAGTAACACACATGGAACTGTCATCTCCTATGACAGCAGTGCCTTCTTCTGAAAGGCACTGCCCGAGCCTGACTTATAGTTAACTTTTGTTTGTTTGTTTTGAGATGGAGTGTCACTCTTGTTGTCCAGGCTGGAGTGCAATAGTGTGATCTCAGCTCACTGCAATCTCTGCCTCCTGGGTTCAAGCAATTCTCTTGCCTCAGCCTTTCAAGTAGCTGGGATTACAGGCACCTGCTACCACGCCAGGCTAATTTTTGTATTTTTAGTAGAGATGGGGTTTCACTGTGTTGGCCAGGCTGGTCTTGAACTTCTGGCCTCAGGTGATCCACCCGCCTTGGCCTCCCAAAGTGCTGGGATTACAGGCATGATACCAGATTACAAAGACTTAAAGACTTAATGTGAAAAAAGAACGTAAAATAGCTCATTTATATATATATATTTTTTTGAGACAGAGTTTCGCTCTTGTTACCCAGGCTGGAGTGCAATGGCGCGATCTCGGCTCACCACAACCTCCGCCTCCTGGGTTCAGGCAATTCTCCTGCCTCAGCCTCCTGAGTAGCTGGGATTACAGGCATGCGCCACCATGCCCAGCTAATTTTTTGTATTTTTAGTAGAGATGGGGTTTCACCATGTTGACCAGGATGGTCTCGATCTCCTGACCTTGTGATCCACCCGCCTCAGCCTCCCAAAGTGCTGGGATTACAGGCTTGAACCACCGCGCCCGGCTATTTCATTTATAATTTTTATGTTGACTGCATGTTAAAATGACAATCTTTTGGGGCCATGCACAGTAGCTCACACCTATCATCGATCCCGGTACTTTGGGAGGCCAAAGCAGGTGGATTGCTTGAGCTCGGGCGTTCGAGACCAGCCTGGGCAACATAGGGAAACTCCATCTCTACAAAAAATATGAAAATTAGCCAGGTGTAGTGGCATGCACCTGTAGTACCAGCTACTGGGGAGGCTGAGGTGGGAGGATCACCTGAGCCCAGGGAGGTCGAGACTGCGGTGAGCCGTGATCACACCGCTGACAGCCTGCGTGATGCAGTGAGCTCCTATCTCAAAAAAACCAAAAACAACCCCCAAATATTTTTGATATACTGGGTTAAATAAAATCAAGTATTATAATTGATTCCACTTGTTTCTGTTTAGTGTTTGGTAACTACAAGTTGTTAGTTTACCTGTGTGGCTTGCCTTGAATTTTACTATTGAGTGCTGGTCTAGGTATACATGTGTAGTAACAGCAGGGTGGAATTTGGAAGTTACAATGTGACACAGAGCTTGTGCCTCGTTCCAAGGTGAAAGGGTATGTGCCCCAAGCCCAGCCAAGTGCCCCGCTCTCCCACGGTGGGGGTCAGACTCCCATGCTCACCTGTTGTATAGCTGCTGGGAGCTGAATGTATAAAGCACATAGAGGGTGTTCCCCGCCAGAAAGGCCAAGATCCACAAGATGACCAGCACCGACCTCTTCTCCTGGAGACAAAGCAAGAGATCTGTGATACCAAAGATGCACATGGCAGAACCTTCTAGAATGTACCCTGATGACCGGCAGCTTTTCACTTTGTCAAAGTTTTGAAGGAAGTGGTGCTGAAGGCGAGAGGAAAGGCACCAGCACCCTTCCATCCAACTGAGACCGAGGCGGTGGTCACAGAGCAGGTGGCAGAATCGTGGACATATGCTTGATCAACGATCTAGAAAGGCAAGACAGCACCATGGTTCGCAGTAGACTCTGGACTGGGATGGCACGCGTTCAAATCCCCGGTCCAGTCCTGTGTGGGAGCTGTCTAACTCCAGGCAAGTTATTTAAACTCTTTCAGTTTTCCTTTTCTCATCTGTAAAACGGGTGTATCTTGGTATCTACCTTATAGAGTTGAAAAAAAAAAATAAACCAGGGGAGAGCGTGAACGCAGTCACCGACTACCACAAATTATGCAGTCGGGTTTCCCACATTTGGGGAATTGCAAAGGTCAGCACATCGGGAGTGCAACGGATAAGCCTCACCCTGGGAAAACCAGCTTTGTGATCATGGCATCTCCCCTGCCAGGTAAGTATATCTACCTTATAGAGTTGTAAGAATTAAAGTGCATAAAATGCTCCTAAGAGCGAAAGCACAGAGAGGTTAAGAAACGTCAAGGGCATGTGTTTTAAGTCTCAGTGTCCTCGTTTGAAAATGAGGCTGTTCTTAAAGATTAAATCAAAATTTTTATTTTTATTTACTTTTTTGTCACCTAGGCTGGAGTGCAGTAGTGTGATAATAGCTCACTGTAACCTTGAACTCCTGGGCCCAAGTGATCCTCCTGCCTCAGCCTCCTGAGTACCTAGCATCACAAGCAGGCGTCAGTGTACCTGGCTAATTAAAAAAAAAAAAAAAAAAAAATTTTTTTTGTAGAGATAGGGTCTTGCTGTTTTGCTCAGGCTGGTCTTGAACTCCTGGCAACAAGTGATCCTCCTGCCTTAGCCTCCCAAAACACTGAAATTACAGACAAAAGTCAAATTTTGAAATGCAAACATTTCATATTTCAAGCTTGCTAAGGGGTAGGACTCATAAGAGTTTACAAGCCAGCAGTAGATTCACATCTAGAAGCTGGAAATTTCTGCTTTCACTTGTGGTAGGACAGACCTCTGGCCCACTGCCCTGGACTGACCATTCCCTGGAGGGCCACAGTGTAGGATTAAATCCAAACTTACACACCTAACTCTCAAAGCCCTACACAATCCAGCCCCATTTCTCTTTCTTCAGCCTCATTCCTGTTTCGTCCCCAGGAAGACACTGGAAATCCTGTTTGCTGTTTGCAGTTTTATCACCTGAGAGCGATCCTAGGAAGTGTCTGAAGGAGGTGCAAAGAGGGGCGTGTTTCTGCCTGTGTGCCCTGGGACACACACGCAGACCCCTGTGATACGGGTTCTCAACAGCTGGTGTCTTTTCTTGGACTGGACCGGCTGCATTGCTGGAATAAGATGAGGTCATAACTTTCCCAGTGTAACCTTTCCTGTGGTTTCGGTAAATGCTCAATACACACTGTCTCCAGACAGCTCAGTGCCCCACACATTGTTATGATGCACATTTCCAGAGAGTGGACGAAACAAATGCATCTCCATCCACCCATCATTCCAGGAGCGGTCAAGGTTAATGATGCTAGAAACCACCTCCAACCGACCAACTGCTCTTATCAGTGTGATTAATCCACCCGGCAGCTTTTTGTACTCCAATAAATAATAGATTCCAGTTTAATTCTCTATGAATCCAAACCAAAGGTGCACTAGGAAGAGGGAATTAGCCACGTTCTGGGAAGGCAGAATCTGAAGGACAAAGGAGGTAGCTCTCTCCTAATTAGCTGAGACGCCTAAGCTTACTAAGGCCCACGCAGACCTGCTCTGACGGAAAACATGCACATACGGGCATGCACAGTATGTCACCTGTGTCTTCACAGGGATCAAGGACCCCTGGAGGCCATTCCGTGGATATAGACATCCTCTCAGCTACTAAAATTTAAGTTAAGGCATCATTTAGATGTTACTGCCTTTGAGAGAGACCTAGCCCTCAAAGCCGCCTCCTACAGGCTGGAATGCAGTGACGCAATCTCAGCTTACTACAACCTCCGCCTCCTGGGTTCAAGCGATTCTCCTGTCTCAGCCTCCTGAGTAGCTGGGATTACAGGCACCTGCCACCATGCCCAGTTAATTTTTATATTTTTAGTAGAGATGGAGTTTCACCATATTGTCCAGGCTGGTCTTGAACTCCTAAATTTAGATGATCTACCCACCTCGGCCTCACAGAGTGCTGAGATTATAGATGTGAGCCACTGTCCTTGGCCCCTCCTACTGTTTTAACAGCAGCAGAGAGGAGTCTGCATAAAGAAGATGAGGCTAAGGGTCAGGAAGGACCTCTGACTCTGTCCCCAACTCTGAACCTCAATGCGCTCATGTGCAAACGGAGACTGGGTTGTCCTCCATGATATGTGGAGAAAGCATTGCTTTTGAGAAAGCAGATGATGCTATAGATGGGCCAGTGAAGCTGGTGATTATTATGGGATCACCTGTGCAGTAGAAAGCACAGACTTTTTCTCAAGAAATAAATGTATTTCCATACGTTTTTGGTGAACAGTGGTATCACATGAATACGTTCTTTAGTGGTGATCTGTGAGATTTTCGAGCACTCATCACCTGAGCTATATACACTGCACCCAATTTGTCGTATTTTACCCCTCACCCCTTCCCACCCTTTCCCTCAGAGTCCTCAAAGTTCACTGTATCACTCCTATGCTTTTGCGTCCTCACAGCTTAGCTCCCACTTACGAGTGAGAACATACCATGTTTGGTTTCCCATTCCTGAGTTACTTAGAATAGTCACCTCCAGTCCCATCCAGGTGGGATGCAACGACCTCAGCTACCCGGATGCAAGTCATGATGCCAGCATCGGAATTGGCTGTGTGACCTCAGGCAAGGAACCTAGTGTCTCTGAGCCTCTCTTTCCTCGGTGGGAAAATGACAAAAGAATGATTTTGTTTTCTCCCAGGTTGCTGGGATGAACCTGCTGAGATGAGCAATGGGCTCAGCACTGTGCCAGGCACGCAATTAGTGCTCAGCAGACACAGGACACTCAGGAGGATGGCGGTGAAGCTCTATGTCTACCCAGCAGCATAAGAGGGATGGCATGAGCGTGGAATGAAAGTAACCTAATGGGGCCGGGCACAGAGGCCCAAACTTGTAATCCCAGCACTTTCGGAGGCCAAGGCATGAGGATCGCCTGAGGTGAGGAGTTCGAGACCAGCCTGGCCAATGTGGTGAAACCCCGTCTTTACTAAAAATACAAAAAATTAGCCAGGAAATTAGCCGGGTGTAGTGGTGTGTGTCTGTAGTCCCAGCTACTGGAGAGATTGAGGCAGGAGAATTGCTTGAACCTGAGAGGCAGAGGTTGCAGTGAGCCAAGATCACGCCACTGCACTCCAGCCTGAGCAACAGAGCAAGAGTCCATGCCAAACAAAACAGAACACCAAAAAACGAAAGCGAGCTAATGTGCTGAATGTCTGCAGGGTAAAGGGACTGGGTCAGGGGCACGGAAGAGATGCAGCTGTTGGGGAGAAGAAAGGAACATTCAGGGATCTACCTAGGGGTGGCAGGCAGAAGAACGGCCTCTCTGAAGGCTGAGGTAGGAGGATCGCTTGAGCCCAGGAGTTGGAGGCTGCCATGAGCTACGGTCATGCCACTGCACTCTAACCTGGGTGCCAGAGTGAGAATCTGTCTTTAAAAATTATAAAATAAAAAAAGGAGGTTTTAGAGAGATCATGGCGGACGGTAGGCAGGACTAGATTGACGCTCCAGACAGAGCAGCGTAGGGAAGTTCGCATTGTGAATTTTAGCTCTAGATCAACTGCAAAAACAAACCAGCAATCTGAAGAGGACCCACAGACTCTCTGAAAGAAGCAGACTGCTCCCGCAGGACCCAGGGGAGCCCCCCAAAACTTCGAGTGCCCCAACTGCGGCAGTGGGAAAGGGAGACCTCCTCTCCGGAGCACTCACCCCCAGAGGAGAAGCTGAAGGTCTGTTTGCGGGAGAGGTTTCCGACTTCACCTGGCGCTGGGTCAATTTGGAGAGCGAGTGAAATACAGGGTAGAGGAAGCAGCAGAAGGGCCCTGGGAGCTCGTGGGTCCCGAGCAGCCCATTCCCGCCTGGCACCACGGGGATCCCGTGGAAGGGCGAGGGGGATAGCTCCACGGGGAGAAGCAGATCTCCAGCTGAACTCGGTAACAGTTGGAACAGGGTAAGCAGCCTCCCGGCCAGAACTCTGCGGAGGACGCAAATCCGGTGTGCAGACTCCACAGGTGCGGGAAGAACTAAGCCCTTTTCTTTGGCAGCTGGGAGATGGTTTCCAAGCCGGGGCAGGTTTCCAAGCCCCTATCGCCCTCCACCTGGAATCAGTCTGGAGGCTGTGGTCGGGGCACGTGGGGGTCTGCCCGGGAGCTGGGCGAGGCCCCGCTTCCTGACAACCCACGTGACTCGGCAGAGCCGCCATAATCCTCCTTGGTACACAACTCCAGTGACCTGGGAATCTCACCCCCATCCCCCATAGCAGAGACCGCCTAGCCCCACCCCCACCTGATGGTCCTTCTTACGCACCCTGGTAGCAGAAGACAAAGGGCACATACACTTGGGAGTTCTAGGGTGCCCGGCAGGTTCCTCTCCACACTGCCACAGCTGGGGCTCTCTGGAAAGCGCCACCTCCTGGCAGGAGGCCAAGCAGCACAAAAACAGCGTGAAACCACCAAAGCCAGCAATCCTCATGGAGTCCCCTGCACCCTCTGCCTCCTCCGTGGGTATCCACAGCTGAGAGACCCATGGACGGTTCACATCACAGGACTCTGTGCAGACAACCCCCAGTACCAGCCAGGAGCCAGGTAGACTCACTGGGTGGCTAGACCCAGAAGACAGACAACAATCACAGCAGGTCGGCTCACAGGAAGCCACATCCACAGGAAAAGGGGGAGAGTACTACAGTGAGGGGACACCCTGTGGGACAAAAGAATCTGAATAACAGCCTTCGACCCTACACCTTCCCTCTGACAGAGCCTACCCAAAAGAGAAGGAACCAGAAAACCAACCCCGGTAATATGACAAAACGAGGCTCTTCAACACCCCACAAAAATCACGCTAGTTCACCAGCAATGGATCCAAACCAAGAACAAAAAAAAAAAAATTCCCTGATTTACCTGAAAAAGACTTCAGCTGGCTAGTTATTAAGCTTATCAGGGAGGGACCAGACAAAGGCAAAGCCCAATGCAATGAAATCCAAAATATGATACAGGAAGTGAAGGGAGAAATATTCAAGGAAATATATAGCTTAAAGAAAAAAAAAAACAATAAAAATTTCAGGAAACTTTGGACATACTTTTAGAAATGTGAAATGTTCTGGAAAGTCTCAGGAATAGAATTGAACAAGTAGAAGAAACAAATTTAGAGCCTGAAGACAAGGTCTTCGAATTAACCCAATCCAACAGAGACAAAGAAAAATGAATAAGAAAATATGAACAAAGCCTCCAAGAAGTCTGGGATTA